CCGGCCCCGCCCCTCGCACTCCGGCCCCGCCCCTCGCACTCCGGCCCCGCCCCTCGCACTCCGGCCCCGCCCCAGGCTCGGCCGTACCCCTACCCCCTAACGGTCCTGGCGACTCCAGGTGGGCCCCGCCTGCCCGCCTCCCTCGTCGCTCGCCCTGCTCCCCTCTAACCTGGCCCACCAGGTCTCACCCAGGAAGTTCTGGTAGCAGTTACGGGTCTGGTTCTGGTTGGGGAAGCGCGGGTCGAAGGGCGGAGTCCTCCATTTCCCCCTGGGGGGCTTCTGGGTTTCCACGTCCAGTATCCTCCGAGAACTTACCTCCTGCGGGGCAGGAGGGGGTTCTGTGGGGCTCTGACCGCACCCAGTTCCTGAGCCCATCCTGAGCACCTGTCCTGCCCTCACCAGACTGATGTCCACGCGTCGTCGGTCCACTGTGCTTGGGGTTCCCGGGAGCCTCTGGCTTCTGAGGGGGGGGGTTCCGTCCAACTCAGGAAAACCTGGCCCTCAGGTCGGATTGGCTGGGACCCCAACAGACCCAKCCAATGGGAGCCGTTGCGGGGCCGGACTGGGACGCGGGCGGGGACAGTGCAGACTCCTCCAGGCTGGGACTGACGCCCCCTCGGGGCCCGCGCACACACACAGGCACTGAGGCGGACTTTGGCTGAGTCTCAGACTCAGGCTTTTAATCTCTGCGAAGCTGGGCTACTCTGCGGGCTCTCCCCGCCCCGCCCCCCCCCCCAAATATAAACTTATAAGATAACTCTGGTCTCTACCGGAGAGGGAAAATCCCCCCGCCTGGACTTTCCAGCATTCTGCATCCTACAGTAGGGGTGCACAGCACCCTGGGGCCTGTAGGGGAAGAGGAGAAAGGGAAGGTGAGGTCACAGCTTCCAGGATCCCCACCAGGGCTAGGGCCAGGGCCAGGTCTAATACAGGTATCCGGGTCTCAGGGGTACCTGGCCCCGCTGGGCTCCTCTGGACAGTTTGCCGACTGAGAGCAAGTTCTCTGCAACCTGCTATTCAAAGTGCTGGGAACTCGGMATGCTGCAAAGACAGAAAAGCCAGAGAGGACCTTGGGGGACTGTCAAGGACATCTGAAACCAAGGCTCTAAGTATATCACCGAAAAATACCTATTACATAAAACTTACGACTCTCATTTACAGTGTACCCCTTAAAGTAGCATTCAGTACATTCAATCCGTGAAATCACATCACCTCCAGTTCCAGAATGTTCTCATCACTTCAAAAGAAATCTTAATCCATTAGCAGTCACTCCCTATTCCTGCACCTTCAGCCCCTGAAAAACCCCTTCCCGTCTTCACATATTCACCTACTTGTGGACATTTTGTGGAAATGGAACCCTACAAAACAGGGCCCATTATGTCCAGATCCTGGCACTTGCCATAACATTTTTAAGGTTGCCCAGTATTGCAGCCTGGTGGCTTCCCCTTCTGTGCCCTCTCCAGACCTGCTTSAGTCAGGCCTTCTCCAACATGTCTCCTCCCTGCCCAGACCCGTGGGTCTTGTCTCAGTCCTGCCTCCTCCTTGCAGCATATGACATGGTCCCCTGCTCCTCCTCCCTCATCACCTTCTTCAGACAGCATTCTGGACGCTCCTGCCTTTTGCTATTCTACTGTCTGACTTTGGTTCTTCTTTTTCTTAACAACTTGGGCTGTCTCTTCATTTCTATTTACTGGTGACCTCCATCAGTGACCCTTCCACAGGCAGTGACACCCCAAATTGCTTCCTCTGAATTCCAGAATCCTGTTATCCAACTACTACCCCATGGCTTTCCTGACCATCTCAGAATTGAGATGCAGCACAGAATTCACAACCTTCTCCCCAGCCTCTTTGATCCCCATGATCCCTCAGCTCTTAGCTCCCACCCTTGCCCCTCTGCATTCATACCCCTAGCCAGAGAGCCCTTTCAACGTAAATCAGTTCCTGCCATTATTATTATTATTTTTTTTTGAGGGAGGCATACTGAGGATTGAACTTCAGGGCACTTGACCACTGAGCTGCATCCCCAGCCCTATTTTGCATTTAGAGATGAGGTCTCACTGAGTTGCTTAGGATCTCACTAAGTTGTTAATGCTGGCTTTGAACTCAAGATCCTCCTGCCTCAGCCTCCCAAGCCACTGCAATTACAGGTGTGTGCCAATGCACCCAACATCTTTTTTTTTAATATATATATTTTTAGTTGCAGATGGACACAATACCTTTGTTTATTTTTATGTGGTGCTGAAGACCAAACCCAGTGCCTCACACATGCTAGGCMAGCACTCGATCACTGATCTAYACAGCCCCAGTCCCAGTTCCTGCCACTCTTGTGCCCCAAACTTTCTAGTCTATTCAGCATCAGAAGCTACAATCCTTAAACTTTTCTGCAAAGTTCTGTATGATGGGACCCTGACTGCATTTCCCACATCTGGACCCCTGGACTCACTCGGCACACACAGGCACTCTGCTCCTGCCTTGGTACTCAGCAGAGGCCTTCAGGTGTTTACACAAATGACTCCAGCTCCATACTGCCTCCCTGGCCACCTGCACTATGGTGGGGCTGTCCTTGACTTGTCCCTGCCCACTAGGTGCCAGCAGCATACCCATGTTCATCCTCGCTGTTGGATGCTGCATCCCTCCTGCCTAGAACAACACCCAGACACAGTGAACACTGATGCTAGGCAGGTTAGCTCAGCAGGCCCTGGGCCCTGGCGACAACCCCCCAGATATACATAAACATAGAGTCTACCTAAGGTGACATCAGGGAACAGATCCCCACTCTCCTACAGACTAAGGAGTTGACAATAAGCATTAGCAGCTGATCCCAAGTACCTGGGCGATGGGTGAAAGGAGCCCTGTTCTTCCGTTGTTATCTCTGCCTTGGTGACCACATCACTCCTATCGTCAATTTCCAAGAGCACAGGCCGGAGAATTTCCGAGGATGACCCCGCCTTGGCCAGAGGATGCTGGCTCAGCATGCTTTCAGGTTCTTGAGATATTCTCCTGGCCAGCTGGGGTGTCCTGACCGAGCCGGGAGTTCTAACTGAGCCGGGCGTCCTGACTGAGCCAGGCTTGCTGACTGTGGTGGGCGTCTTGACTGAGCCAGGCTCGCTGTTTGTGGCGGGCGTCTTGACTGAGCCTGGCGTGCTGACTGAGCCGGGCACCTTGACTGAGCCGGGCTTGCTGACTATGGTGGGTGCCCTGACTGAGCCTGGCGCACTGACTGTGG